GGGGGTATTTTTCACATTTCCAAAAATCATTTCTTTACGTATTTTTTAAAATGTATAAATAACGAGAATAACCGTCTGTCTCAGATTTTGTACCCGACTCATCCCGGGTTGGCCTTGACAGGCAAGGTCGAAGCAGCCCGCCTCCTACTCCTAGACGATCAAATTTGTTATAGGTTATGGATCGTGGAACATATAAATGACAATTACGTGATGCTTTAACTGCTGTGGGTCGTTGGCGGGTACTCTGGGTTTTTATCTTCTCCTTTATTTTTATTAAACACATAATATTATTATCTTCCTCATCTGTCCTTCATCTTTTGTTTGTATGCTACTGTCTAGTACCACCTCTAACCTTCGACTCGTATTTTAACCTATTTGTGTCGTAAGTGCCGCAAAACTCTTCACTAAAACTAAAGTGTATTGTACTATTCTCACTCTCACGTGTTGTTGATTTGTCTTCAGAACAAAAACTGTAAAAGAAACGTTATTTATTAATAATATAATTATTAATTTCCTTGCTTTAGGGGTATACCAGTGTGGCCCGTCGCCCTTGCGAGCCATCAAGGAGGGCGATGTGGAGGTCGGGTACGACACAAAGTTCATCTTTGCCGAGGTCAACGCGGAGTGCTGTGATTGGACTGACGGTGACCCGCCCACTCTCGTATCCAAGAATACGCGCAGGTCAGATCAGAGGTGGTCGTGGTGATGGTGGTGGTAGTGGTGGTGGTGGTGATGATGGTAGTGGAGTTTCTTTCTGTTGCGGTTGTCATGGGGATAGTGGTAGAATTCGATGTTGTGATGATTATGATAATGATGATAGTGATGGTGGAATTTCTTACTGTTTTGGTCGTGGTGATGATGATGGTGGAATTTGGTCATCGTTGTAATGATGCTGGTGGTAGAGGTGGTGATGATGGTGGTGAGGGTGGTGATGATGGTGGTGATGGTGGTGGAGGTGGTGATGATGGTGGTGATGATGGTGGAGGTGGTGGTGATGGTGGTGGAAGTGGTGGTGATGATGGTGATGGTGGAATTTCTCGTTGTTGTGGAGAGATGGCGATGGTTGTAGAATATGCCTTAGTTGTGGTGTTGATGGTGTTGGCAGTGGTGGAAATGATGGTGAAGCAGAAATCGTTCGTTGTTGGGGTGAAGATGATTGAGAAATTTGTTTCTTTGATGGTGATGCTGGTTATTGCTGTTTGTTACTTGCTGTCACAAACTTTCCTCAGAGTCGGTAAAAACCTCAGCACCAAAGTTCCAGACGGTAAAGGCTACAAGAAGTACTGTGGTAGAGACGAGGGTGTGCGTCTGGATGTGACTAACTTATACAAGTATGATGAAGGTGAGGGCCACACACGTCCGAAAAAGTACAACGACCGTAAGGGAGAATCCTGGCCTTCGAACTGTTTAGCAGCCAGCTCAGCTATTTAAAAAAAGACACCATGCGAGAATAATCATCATTTAGAAGTAAGTAAGGGCCTAATTTACGAATTACCCTGAGAAGAAATTCCATTAAAAAAGACGAAATGTTTTGAAAGAGTACTTCCTAATGAAGGATGTGGGTATATATTTTAGGTAGCACTCCATCCCGTTAGCAAACAAGCTAAACTGAAGCCAAATGCAAGCGGAACGAGTATAAATAGTTCATTAACTTGTTTTTAGTATTGCCATATTTATTATAATCGCTGTTCTACCCAGTCCAGAAACGTCAGTAATCTTCTCTCTCTCTCTCTCTCTCTCTCTCTCTCTCTCTCTCTCTCTCTCTCTTTCTCTCTCTCTCTCTCCCTCTCGCTCTCTTCCCCCTCCCTCCCTCCCTCTATCTCCCCCCTCACTCACTCACTCACTCTTTCTCTCTCTCTCGCTCTCTCTCTTCCTCTCCCCTCTCTCCCTC